CCAAGGCGATATAGACTTTCTGCCTTTTGATCCAAACGGGAGAGTCGTATACCTGGGATCAGTCCGTCAACACGAGCACGTCTATGTCGTCTTCACCCCCCGCATCTACGTTGGCCGCACGTCAAGTCCGGATGAGCGGACGGTCTATAAGGGCATCAAGACAATGGACTCGCGCTCCGCCCGGGCTGTATTTGTGATGCTGGGCTACATGCTCTCGAAGATCAACTATCGCACACTCTTGTTCCAAGACTATCCTGATCTGGACTCAGACCAAGGCATCTCTGAGTTCGTTTGTAACATATTGTAAGTGTTCAACATGTTTCGAAACGGGTGGGCAAAAGATGTTGCGTATCCGTATCCCAACGCTACCATTTGGCCATTCAAATTGAACGCTTCATATGCCGTCGAGGGCTGTTGCGGGTACGCAACCCCATTCTGCTCACCAGCGTCGTGCTCGCCGAGAAACCACAAAACACGTACAGGGAACCGTCTAAATGGACACCTGCCTTTCCTGGAACACAGACGCCCCTTTAGCGCTCAATGGCCCACTGGCTGTCTGCGCGCACAGGCGCTACTTGGGCGCTTGTGTACCAAAACAGGCAGATGTCCATTTGGACGGGTGCGTCCATTTGGCCGTCAGTTCCCTGTATATGCATCTCCTTGCCATTCATTAAAACCTTCTCGCCCTTTGGGAGCGCAAACAAGATGTCTCCCCGCAGTCGAACTGTTTTCCTTTAGCGCCCGGGCAAAAATGCCACTGTTGCCATCGTTACTGACTTATTTCCGCATTCAAGTCAGAACAAATTCTACGAGCTCGATCTCACGACAACAATCGCCCTGGACGAGGCGATTCGTAGGCACTATGATGAATGGATTCGCAATGCGCCGCCAGAGTATCAGAAGACAATTTGCGGCTCGTCCGTCCCCTGCTCAATGTCTTACAAGCACGGCCAAAATCGCCAGATATGGGGTACAGAGCTCGAGAGGGACGTCCAACGGGCGTTCTGGGAAGAATCGGCAAATCTCAAAAACATCCTCGTCTATCGGGTGGCTTTTGCCCTACATCTCCAGTAAGTGTTCAGTAGGAATCCCGCCAAAGATGAGCATGTCAAATGGAACCTCGTTGTTATCCTCTGGTAGATGCACCCCCGTACAAGACTGGGAGGATCGCAGCCTCGATGAGATCCACGATACCTACGGAGAGGAGCTTTACGACTCTCCAAATCCCAACACTCGGGAACGCATCGACGACCTCGCATCCTATCCGATGTTGGACGAGGGCGGCAAAGAAATGCGCATCTACCAGCCGAATGGCGAAGTTGTCTTCAGACGCTATGCCATTGTCCCAGAGGACAACGAAGCATTCTGCGGCATCCTGTGCGATCTCGACAAGAGCCGCGCCCTGTTCATTGCACCCGAAGTCCTCGATATCGACGACAGCGACGAAGACGATATCGACATTGACCCCTTTCGGGACGACAACGATGACCCGAATGATGTTGGCGAGTTTGACGATCACGCCGAGCTGCGCGCCCATCGCAAACAAGTGAAGCGGGACGTCAAGTTCCGCTTCTTCCCCGCGGCCTTTACCCATACCATCGGACAGATCCAGGCGGACGGTCCCATCCGACCCCTGGCAAGAAAGGTCGAGGCGATTAATCGAGACGTTCGTGCTCGCCCTGGAGTTGGGCCTCCAGTCGCTTGCTCCCGTAATCAGATCTATAACGATCTCAGCCACCACACTCGCCTCTCGGCAGGACAGCACATCGCTCAGCGCGGAATACTCACAGGCACCGCTGCAGGTGCCTACGCTCACACTTGGCAGTCCGAGTCTATCGCTTCCAAGTCCTACGGCCAGGTCTCATCGATACTTCCACATTCCGCCCTCGCGACTCAAATTCGCAACGTCAAGAAGTCCTATCTCCGGTTTGAGAATGTCTTCACCATCCACATCAACCGTCTTGACCCCTCACTCCACAACGGCCGGGCATTCTTTGACCATGTGGTAGAACCTGTGCTAAGTGCCTGTAGCCATTCGGATGTCTGCGCTGCCATCAAGCAGTCAACGGTGGTACTAAGACATGATGTCCGTGTGCCGCAGTTGCATTCATCCTCCTTGCGTCCTCACTCACTTATACCTCTTACTCTCCAGGTTTTCCCCAAGCTCTACATTTGGACTTCGACACCCATCACGATTCTTATGGAGGAGATCTGGCTGCGTTATGTGCGCCCTGTCATGGAAAAGCGTCGGGCTGCGGGAGTCCGACAGGCTCCCTCATCTCGTTCACGGTCTACACCGTCGATTGCACGCCTTGGGATGGTCCCGGAGCCCCAGTGGATCGAGATCCTGGCCATTCTCGAACGCTCCTTCAATTTCTGCCACACAGGCAACGCGATCTGCCTTTCCCAGAAGCTGATGCAACAGACATTCACCAACCGTGCTCTCCTGGACGGCTATATGCCCCTTCTCGCTGGTGCTCTCAAACTCAACTCCGCTGACGGTGCCATCCCAATTGCGCCTTTAGACCTCTGGCCCACAACCGAGGATGGACAGCCTCTTGTGGCGTCGAAGACGTCTCAGGTGTACACGTATGGTGAATCCCATTGGTCGGTACGTCATTGGCCACCTTCAGACTCGCAGCGCTGTTAAATTTTCCTGCATCAATCAATCATCAGCGCTACTACGCTCAATTTCGGATTAAGCATCGTATCGCCGTCGCGACCGCAACCATCCACGACTCGGAGGAGAGGATGGACCTCGCGATCTCTGTCCTTGGTGACATTGTCGTACAAGCCTATCAAGAGGACGTCGTCGAGATGGTCCGACGCGCTGTGAAGGCCGTGAGGGACGACGCTAAGCTTCGCCCCAATGACTACGCCCCTGGCTGGGTCGAAACTCGCCGGACCAGCTTCCGGCAGTGGCACAAGAGGAAGAACCCCCTCGACTATGGCGACGATTATGATACCATTTCCCTCCTTTCCCGCGCCATCGCCATCCGCGACGACGCCCGCATCGACCCGCTGCCTCAGGCCCCTGAGAAGTCAATCTCTGTCATGGAATTCGCTCACCGCCTCTATAATATTGGCACTGCGCAGAGGCGACAATCCGTTGTTGCGCCTGTTTGGCGGGAAGGGGCGACTTGGCACACGCTACACGTCACACTAGCCCATGGATCCGCTCTCTTAGGGCAAGAGTTCTCTGATGCGGAGAAGGCGAAGCGTCTCACCAAGGCCATCGCGGACGCGGTTTTAGCCAACCATGTCCACTTCTTCCCCAACAAGTCCGGTGACCGCTCGTCCGTCCCATCGCTTTCGTCCTGGACTTACCTTGGCAACCCACCAAATGCAGCACATTTGGCCACCAGCCGCCTCGACAGCGTCGGTACGCATCTCAAGCGCAAGCGTACGCAAGCAATTAGGGAGCTGGTCGAAAACGATATCACGGCCAAGTGGAATATTCTCGAATGCACCATCGAGAGCTACAAAAGATATATGACCCGCACACGACTCCCCGAAGACTGGTCATGGAACGGCGACCAATCCCTCGAGGGGAATGAAGAGGTGTACAGGGTGTATCAGTGGGCCGCAACTCGACTCGCAAACCCTCAGCGCGACTGGTGCACTCGTCTAGCCATGCACCTCGCCTTCCTTCTGTCCAAGATAACACCCTACGTCTTCAGTCCGGACGTCACCAAGGAAAACGATTTCCCTGACGTGAAGAGGATCCTCAAGGAGATGGAGCAACTCAAACAGAACTCGCCTAGCGAGAGCTCTATCAGTATTATCCGGAAACTACCTTGGATCAAGAAGGAACGTAACGGAGCTCACGACCGCGCGCTGTACTTTACTCAAGCTGCCGTCGTGATCATGTCGTGGATCGATCCGGACTCTCCGGTCAGAAAACAGATCGAGAACGTCAATCGGAAGAGGGAGCTGATCGCCCAGTGGAATAAAAAGCATGGTGGGTCATTCGCATCTCGAAGAGAAATACGAATCGCTCAATGTCTTGTCAACTCTACGCACCCAGCTCACAAAGGACTTGGCTGCGTCACGATGATTAAGCTTGGAGTCCTGTATGGTGCCGGTCGTGGCGTCCTCAGCTCTCCTAAAACAGGGCAAAACTACTTCGCGCGTTCTGTGGATGACCTCATGCAATGGGAGCAGCAGGTGACTGGAGCATTGGGTCGTTCTGTCGACGGCGCGTACAAGCTCGTCTTGACTGTCTTTGGAACTGCAATTGCGAATCGTCTCATCGAGTCTGGAGAGATGCCAAGCATATCTCTTCCCCGAAACGCTCCGTCGACTTCGCGGTTGGGATCGGCTTTGCAAGCAGGTAGACGAACGTCGACCGCAATCGATGACAGCGACAACGAGGGAGGGCACCCGCCTCAACGGCGGCGCTACTAGATTCGCATATTGTAGTCGCTCGTAACTGTTTGTCTGATCTGTCAATCGTATGTGGGTTCTCAGTATAACGGATGCATCCGTATGGTTGGGGTAACCTTCGACGGATGCATCCGCTCTTAGATGTACCGAATACAGATGATACAGATGATAAGCGCTCGCTCGTCGACCTCGTACATCCAACACGCTGTACCCTGTGCTATGCAGCCTTCTCCGGTGTCGCGCATTGTATACTCCAAAACGCCTCGCTAGGGATGGATCAGGAGGTACGGCAACAGGCAAATGCGCGAGGTGGCCGAGAGTAGGGGAGGAGCCGCGCCTTGCGGACTTCTTCGCTGGGGACACGGAGCACCTTCAGCCCCGCCATAGTGCCCGCATCCTTGGTAGCCTGCCGTTAGGACAGGTTGGATTGCGCGGGGATCCTGATCACGGCGGAGGTGACTAGGGAGCTGAGGTAAGACTGCGCGATCTCCTTCATCTTTGTCAGGATCAGAGACTCGGAGGAGACCTCTCCCGGAGTCGTCCGGGCGGCCAGTCGCTTTGCAT